AAAAAAAAAAAAAAAAAAAAGGCAAGCAAGGTCTGCACACTCTCCTGACAGCGAGTCAGCAGTTCTGATGGATTTGAGGATCTCCCTGTTTACATGGAAGGGAATGCTGAGAGCACCACGCAGGGAGTCACTTCTGCTGTGGGCAACAGCAGTTGTGTCGTGCTGCAAATTGCTTATTACCATGCAAAACATGTAATTAATTAATGCAAATTTTCCAGAGCTGACAGGTCACAGAGTGATTGCTTTTCTTTTTCTTTTTTTTTTTGGAGGTGAACACTGACAGGAAAGCAAGGAACAGCTTTCAGAACCTGCTCCAGGGGGGGTTGCTTTGTTTTCCTTTCACTTCAACTAAACCTGTGAGCACCTCCTGGTTTGAAAAAAGATTACCAGAAACAACAGGAGGAAAGAAACCCCTCATCTGTCAAGAGCACTTATGACGAGAGAAGAAGAGGATTCTTAACTTTTTTTTTTTTTTAAAGAAGATAAATCCACCAAGCAGTGGATAAGCCAGTGAGTAAATCCCATTATTATCTGGAAAAAGTGGTGTTTTAGTGCTATTTAGTGACCTCATTCCCTGGATGAGACCCTTCACATTCTGAGTTAACCCTGTACACAAACTTCTCTGAGGATTAATACAGAAGATCAAAACACCCTTCTCTCCTCTACAGAGGCACTGCTGAGACTTCACAATCCTGTCCTAAAGAAGATTGCTTCCCAGTGAATTAATTCACTGTTTAGATGTTTGCTTCCCAGTGAATTATTCCAGTATTAAATCTGAGAGCTTTGCTTATAGGTAAGGTCAGGTTGAACTTCAAATCTGTTCACACACTCAAGGAGCATAACGAAGCTGTGGGGATGAAGGAGCCTTTCCACACCCCTGTTTGGAAAGGGAGGGAAAGAGGAGCAGCCTGAAGCTTCCCCTGAGGACTTGGATAACGAGGCAGAATTAACACCATCAGTCATGAGACCTGAGGAACAACAGACACCACCAACAGTACACAAAGTCCTGAGGACAACACTGGAAATCCTCAGTGAGTAATAGGGCAGATCACACACATCATCCAGGATTAACCAAGGCAGGATGCACAGAGGTGTTAACCTTTCAGTGACCTTTAAAGGGGTTGTTTTAAACTCCTCCCAAACAGACTTGGTTTGGATCCTCTTGAAGGTCTCCTGTGTCCAGGGGTCCTGCCCATGGCCTGGAAAAGCTGAGGGAGAGTAGAACTTTGGTCTTTCCAACTCTAGTAGAACTGGGACAACCCCTACGTGGGTCTGGTTTGGCATCTTTCCCATTGCCTCCAGGTCTGGATCACCAGAGAACACAGAACTTGGAGATGATCAGAGCAGCTGCAAGGGCTCATTCCAAGTAATTTCAGGCTGACAAGGAGTGGTCAGACAGCTTCAGAGCTGCCAGAACCACTCAAGAGGCCCAGTGAAGCAGGATCCACTAACTGAATCAGCCTCATCAAGCAGAACAAGAGCTTCCCAAGTTGCATCATCAGGCAACCCAGAGAGGAAGGATTTCTGCCGTTTCAGGCCAAGATCTGACCCATCCACGTGGCTGCTCACGACCTGCAGGCACACACAAGACTGCAAGTGAAGTCATGCAAAGTCAGAGAGTTCAGGAGCCAAAGGAGCTGTGAAAGCACCCCATTTCAACCAGCTGCAAGTGCAGAACAGCTCAGAGCAGCAGGTTCTTGAAGCTGGTGGAATTTTCTGCAGCCCTCCCCTGGGGATGCAGCAATCACGGCACTGATCACACAGAAGAAGTACTGCAACGACTCCTGCTAATGCCACTTATTTGTTGGGAATATTTTATAAGGACATAAGTTGAAATGGCTCATAATTAACCAAACATGACATCTCTAAAGCTGATGTTCCCAGCCTTAAATTGGCCTTCTGTTAATTCTAACACTTCCTCTCATTTCCAGGGCGAGGACATCGCAGTCACATTAAGTGAACAGAGGAAACCCTGATCTCCACGTGCTCAAAATCCGGTTTGGCCCTTGAGGAAACAGCTCCAGAAAGCCTGTGCTGTGAGGGAAATAAAGTAATTAATGGAGATCAAAGGGTATAATCCAGGCTCATTTCCCCCAAATCCCTTAAATGTGGCTGGGATGGGATTAGCCATTCCCGAACTTCTCCATGTGAGTCTGCCTGTTTGCAGATCGACACCGGAAACTCAAATCGTTCCTCTACAGGGGAGAAGAAAATTTTGCTTTCATTGTGGCTGATCTTTCTACTTGTTTGTATCATCATCCTGTGAGGGCTTTGAGTGCAGGAAAGGAGCCTGCCAAGGGAGACAGAGCTGATTTCCTAATTGAGCTCCATTTCGTTCCTCTCGCAGCAGAGCTGGCTGAGAGGAAAGGGAAAAAAAAGAAAAAAAAAAAAAAAGATGACTACATTGCTTGAAGACTCCTGTTATAGCTCAGTTCTTAGCCGAGAACAAAAAGCTTTGGTCTCCAAGGGAGTTCAAAGCTCCAGGAAATCCTCATTGCCTCCCTCACTCCCAACATCCAGCTCCCAGCACTGATCTGTCCTGGGCACAGAAGAGCTTGTGCCCTGAGGGAACACCCTTAGTGAGGTCAGGGCATCCCTCAGCCCTGCCACGATCATCATGCTCATTTTTGGAGCAGCTGGGTGAAGGAGGAGAGGACAAGGATGGGAATTAGTCCTTAATTCAGGCAGGGGACTTGACTTCGTCAAGGAGAAGCCAGAATGCACAATCAAGACAGTGGAAAAACAGGGAAGAAGACACCAGGTATTAAAACTGGCACCAGGAGACAAGGAGGGAGGGTTGGCACGTGATTTTCCAAGTGTAAATTCTACATCTTGCAAAGTAAATGGAGAGTAGAGGCATCCCAGAGCAGATCATGGCCACAAGGAGCAATGTTTAAAACCCTACAGAACTCAAATTTCAAAGTTGATTTTTTTTTTTTTAAATAAAGTTTAGCATTTACTATATTCACAGCCCCAAACCTTCCAGAGCTCAAGGAGGGTTGGGACAATGTTCTCAGGGACAGGGTGGGATTGCTGGGGTGTCTGTGCAGGGCCAGGAGCTGGACTGGATGATTCTTGTGGGTCCCTTCCAGCTTAGGATATTTTGTGGTTCTGTGACAGGGCTGTGATAGCAACTAATGGGAATGCAAGCCTAAGGGACTGATCTCTCAGGAAAGATCTGTAAAGGAGCTGCAGGGAGCAGCAGGAGCCAGCAATTTCCAGATGTGGAAGGTGAAATCTTTCCATCCCTGACCCAAAAAGCAGCTGTGCCTGGCTGGGCTGGGCACAGCAAGACTGGAATCAAGACAGACCCACCCCATCCCCCAAAGTAAATGACCACTTAGCCTCACTTCTGATAAGTGGCAACTCAGAGAACGAAACCAAGGCAGGATAATTAAAACTAATGGCATGTGAGTGGAAATGACCACTTCTGTGGTAAAAGCACTCAACTGGAACACAATGAGGCCAGACAATCTCTACTCTGGAGCAGGTTTCATGAGAAATAGGGGTTTTAATTTTTTTTCTGATAAGAATCTGTTGCTCAACTCAGAACAGCAGAAAAGTTGGTCTTAAATAGAAAGCTGTGACCCGGGCCTGGCTTCACATTTGCTTTTGCTTAAAACCAAGAGAACCAAAGCATTTTGCCTTCCCAAAACGTGGTGGAGGATTGTTATGGGAGCTCTGAAATCATGGTGCATTTTTCCCACCCTCTGTAATAACCACCAGGCAGGTCTGGGGCAGCGGATCAGCCTGGATTCCTTCTGGAGGACACATCTGGAAAGACCCAGCCAAAGCATCTCCTGAGCTCCCCACAAGGATAAAACGGAAAAAGGCCTTGGCTGACCCTTCCAGAGGAGTGGGTGGAATTCCTGCAGGGTGCTGGCTGAGGTGACTCCTTTTGGAGCCTCCTCCCTGCGCTTTCATCCCTGGCGAGCCTTCAAGATGACAGCAAATTCCGCAACCACGCCAACCCACCGCTCCCAAAGGACTGGGAAACCACAAGCGAGACCCAAAAGACATCCAAGACACCCCCAGGGTTCCTACTTACGTCTCGTAGATGTGCCCACTCTCCACCCTCTCCTCCACGTAGGCCAGGGCCCGGACGTGCATGGGGGAGTGCGGGAAGGCCGCGTGGATCCAGGGCAGGCCGAACACCGACAGCCCCGTGTTGATCAGCGCGACCAGCAGGAGGTCCCAGTGATAGGCTGTGCCCTTCACCAACCTGAAAGGGAGATTTTACTCGCAGTTAACACCTGGTACAAACGCCACAGGCTGAGCCTTGAGCTCCTGTGTTTGAGCACTCGAGTGCTCTTCCACACGGGCATCGATCTCACACCTCCTGGGTGATAGGAGCACCGACGGGATAGTTTGCTCCCGAAGTGGTTGTTGGCTGGGAAGAACAACCCCTGAGCAGAGAGGCAGCCCGCTAATATAACAGCCCATGAAAATTTCACCAGCATTTTGCTCCTGCATTTACAGCAGTATAAAATCCATGTTCATATTTTGTTAGCGGAGTCTGTGGAGGGAGTGGTTAAAATCCTCGGCGCTGGTTGACAAACCACTGACACTGAAGTTTCTCATCTGTCTTGTTTCTAACCCTGATCTCCCTCTTCCCCCACGAGCAGGACACGTGCTTGAGATGCTGCAGTAATCCCCTAATTATGTAATTGCTACTGCATGATAAGAAAATGGGACAGGAATTCATTAAACTTCAGCTCCTCCTTGGCAGTCACAGAATCACGGAATGGATCACAGAATGGTTTGGGTTGGAAGGGACCTTAAAGATTATTCAGCTCCAAACCCTTGCCAAGGACAAGGACACCTTCCACTAGACCAGGCTGCTCCAAACCCCATCCAATCTGGCCAAAAATGATTCCACCAAGGAACGTGGCCGTATCCACTTTGCAAGGGCTACACTCGGAGCAGCACCAACACTGAGCTCACATCTCATTTAACCCTGCCATTCTTTGCAAGGTCTGCTCCTTTCCTGAACATTCCCATTTGGCACTAACTGCTCAGATGTAAGGAATGAAGTTCAGAAGAAAGGCTGGGGAAGGATTCAGCTCTCAGGCTTTAATACCCAACTGAAAGGTCTGTGTTTCTGCCCAGCCACCCTCACACAACACAGGGGATCAGCTGAACTGCTCTCTGGGCATCGTCAGCTGGAAAGGTAACACGATTTAGGTGTCTTAATGCCACCCAAACAAGCTCAGTTCAAAACCTAAGCACAGGTTTGGAGCCATCTAAGACATGAGGTGCGTGGAGCTCATAGATTTGACCCAGCACATGGAGACCTGTGGCCAGTATCTACCTCAGAGAGCAGCAGATGCCATTGTTTGGGCAGCAGAAATCTTGGGTGGGGTTCAGTTTTGGAACAAAAGGACTGGTCTCACTGGGAGTGCTCACCTCCACTGAGGGAGGAGGCCACGGGGTGAGCAGGTCAGGTAGATGTCCACACTGCAGCGGCTCTGAGCTGGAAGGTGCTGGCAGGAAGGGTGGGATTGTAAACACGCTTCCTGCTTTGAAAGCACAGCTCCTGCTCACGTGCTGCTCTCTCAGAGCAAAGGCACCCTCAGCATCCCCTGGGTTATTGTGTCATTGTCCTGTCTGCCCCTTCACAGAGGGCTCCAAGTACAAAGGTTATACAACAACCTGTTGGAGAGAATCCAGAGGAGGCCACCGAGATGATTAGAGGGATGGAGCACCCCTGCTGTGAGGAGAGCCTGAGAGAACTGGGAATGTTCAGCCTGGAGAAGAGAAGGCTTTGGGGTCAACCTCATTGTGGCCTCTCAGTACCTGAAGGGAGCTGACAGCAAAGATGAAGAGAGACTATTGACAGAGGTCTGGAGTGACAGGACAAAGGGGAATGGCTTCAATCTGAAAGAGAGCAGGTTAAGATTAGATATCAGGAAGAAATTGTTTGCTGTGGGGGTGGTGAGGGCTCTGGCACGGGTTGCCCAGACAAGCTGTGGCTGCCCCTGGATCCCTGGAAGTGTGCAAGGCCAGGCTGGATGGAGTTCTAAGCAACCAGGTCTAGTGGAAGGTGCTGGAAGTAGATGATTTTTGAGGTCCCTTCTAAGCCAAACCGCTCTGTGATGATCTACAGGACACTGGGCCCAGCACTGTGTGTGCTGTGCACCTGCTCTGAGCCACGGAGGGGCTTCTCTGAGCTTGCCTAGATGGATGTCTTATCCTTGGTTATCTTCACGCTGCCCAACCAGCCCAGTATTCCTTGGACTGTCCTTTACACCTGCTCTGACTGTTGTTCAGCAAAACACATCAGGTGCTTTCAGGCAAACATCATCTTTTCCCTGTCTTTTTTTTTTTTCTCCTACAAAAGGAAACAACTCCATCTGGTAAGACACCAAGAGCACATTCTCCATTTGGCTGGCACAGACAACAGTATTTTATTCTCTGATGGCACCAACAAATAGAAAGGGTCAAGTCCTAGTTTTTCCATCTCCAGAAACCCCATGGATCAGCATCAGCTCAGCCCTGTAAGGAGGCCTCCTGAAAAACACCCTGAACAGCTCCACTCCATATTTCACGTTGCTTAAGGACACTCCAGTGGAAAATACCAAGAGTTTGGAAGAAATTAATATTAGCAAAGAGATGACCCACTTACATACAGATTTATGCAACACTTAAAGGGATATAATGGAGATAAGAGGTGGTCAAAGGGAACTAAATTAGTGTAACTGAACTGGAGCTTGTCTCCTCTCCCCTAACACTGTGTGACTCCAGCACAACGTGGAGAATGCTAATGTGCATTATGCAAGGAGAGAACCCTCCCACGCATTACATTAGGGGAAAAAAAAAATCCTTGGAGACGTGGTAGTTTCCCTGGAAAAAAAATTCATACACGTTCAGTCCTGACACCACATCTGACTGCAGCCGGCACAAGAACATCAGAGGGAATATTTTAACAGCAACATCTCAAGTTGGCACGTAAATTAAGGTTTATCAGACATAGGGCACACTGTTTTATTCCACTTCCACCTTTTCCAGTTGGGAGCTAACAGCTCCAGACACTTCTGATGCTCAGCTCCTACAGCATTTATGTAGGTCACTGACTTCTCATTTTCCACCAATTCTCTGCGCTGCGAGAGCAGCCCAAGTGTCCCCACGTGTCAGACACTCCCTAAATCTCCAGAGGTACATCCACAGACCTCAAACCATGCAGAATGCCTACTTAACATTCACCACGCTACATCTCAGCTCCCAGAACTCTTCCTGAAAAACACCTTGAGACTTTTCTTTTGGGGGGGGGGGGGGGGGGGGGAACAAACGATGATGAGTAGGAGGTAAAGAAGGAACGGGATGAGCTCGTGGATGCTCTGAGTTTTTGGCTCGCTGCCACAACACCGGGCTCTGGGGACTGGGGGAGGAGTTGAGAGTGGAGCTACCTTCACCTGTGGCAATGAGAGTTCTCACACACACACACACACACACATTTTGTGACGTTCAGACGAGCTGTGGGTGAGCAGGGCCCTGCGTGTTACCTGTTCTCCGGGGCGTTGGTGAGCGAGGCCACGATGTTCTGCTCGATGAAGAAGAGCATGGACAGCAGGAAGCCCAGGCCCATGGCGCTCATCACCGAGCCGATGGACAGCGACTGCACGGGCGCCAGCACGAACAGGCTGTCGGACGTGTGGTAGTTAAACCTGGACACTGGGGAGAGGATGGGAATGTTAAAAGGAGGTGCCTTCTCCTCCAACCATCCACGTGGGCTCCGTGTTCCACCCACACCACCAACTCCTGGGAGCCAGTGCGGCCAACCAGGCGTGAGGCTCCGGCATGTGGGAGCCAGAAGGCCACGGAGGACGGGCCCATCTGGCTGTTTTGGTTTATGTTTTATCTCCATCCACTCAGAAACTTGGCTGCCATCCTGATTTGACAGATCACTGCTAGTCCTAGCGAGGCATTACATGTGGTTAAGCAAAACAAAAGAGGGAAACTTGTTTTTCCACAGATGCAAAGCGGTTTTAGATTAGAAAACCTTATTTCTAACTAGCAGCTAATCAACTCAGGCATTTGGAAACTTCCTCAGACCCAGCAAGGCCTTTTAGTATAAAATGCCCCTACTTTCCTGCCATTGGAAGCAATCCACGACAAGGGATAAATCACATGTGGTCACACGCCATTTTACAATCCAACTGGATGGAATGGCCATCACAGAAAAAAAACAAAAGCCATTTCTTATTTGTTTCCATACGTTTCCTCACATCACCCACTCACGTCACCGCAGGACAATGCAATTCCTGTCCCCCGTTATCGCTTCCTGATGTGGAAAAGTTGATCTATCTGGCCCAGTGAATGGTGGCTCATTTTTAGATTTCCTTGTGTAGCTTAGAACTGCCCAGATGCCCTGCACCATTTCAGTGAAACTGGGGAAATGTAAACTGGAGACAGAGAGGACAGATTGGAACCACCAATTCTACTTTGGCATGACTGGCAACAACCCTTCCCCGCCTCATAATTACTCTGCCAGGAATTGCTGATCCTCCTTGTTGTAAGATATATACGCTTTGGGTTCATTGAAGAGACACATTTGGATAACTTTTCTGGAGAGAAAAAACTTGGCTCAGCCTCGTTTGATTTGGGTTTTAAACAAAACAAATCTGGCCATGAGGAAGTCAAAGCTCTTGGACTGGTGGGAGGTACATGCAGGGTTTGTAAAATCAGACTGAAGAACTTTTTTTTTATCAAAACCTTTCTAGGATTTCACTTCTCTTCTCCAGAACAAAAATAGGACTTACTTTCGATTTCCTTGAAGATGTAGGAACCCACAACAGAGAAAGTCAGGACTGAAATGGGTAAGGCACAGTCGGACAGAATCTCACGGACTCTCGCGTGTAAATATGGGCTGCAATCAAAAGACAGAAGAACTCCATCAGCATCACATGGATTGATAATCAGTCAATCAATCCAGACAGCATTAATGTTCTAACAAGCAAAAATTCTGTCCCATCTTGCAATTTTAAAGAGATACTTGGAGTGAAGAGCTGGTCTACATTCAGCCGTTAGCCCTCTGGAATCTACAGCCTTCAAAGGTTGATGAAAGCACAAGCAAAACACAAAGAAACAAAGAACTAAGCTGCAAGCTGGAAAAAAAAGCCCTCCAAGCACCCATTTGTGTGTCATTTCCACTTTACTTTAATTGCTTACTGCATTTCAAATGAAAAACTTCAAGAGCATTGGAGTAAAACCCAAATCAGAGCTGGGCATTTATCTGCCAAGAGAACATTCCAGTGGACCTTCCAGCACCATCAGGGATTTTCTGCCCACCAAAACAGTTCAATGCCTGTTTGGAGGGAGTCACAGGGACCCCCAACACGAATTAGATGGTTCACCCGAAGGTTTTGAGTAAGTCAGCAAGACCAGCGAGTGAACATCATGTTTCGTGTTAACATTTTCCAGGTGGCCCCTCCGAGTTCATCTCTGGCTTTGGCTTCCACCAGCATTACTGGAAGAGTTCTGGGGTTACAGGATCAAGATCTAAGCAACAGGCAACATGAAATAACCAGCAGTCTGAGCTCCAAGGCTGAAGCAACTCACCTTTTCTTAAACTGATAGAGCGTATGGCCAAGCCAAAGGGTACCCAACATCAACATGAGACTAAGGACGGCAGTTTCACGCCCATAATGCACATCATGGGTGCATGTCTGATTCTCTAGGGACATGGATCTGCTCACTGATGAATTCATCAAGAAGGTGGTATTGATGCCGAGGCTTGGAATAGCATCAGCTCCTTCTTTTCCCAAGTAATTGTCTCCTGTGCGCCCATAGTAGTAATATTTCTTAAAAACTGCACAAACAACCAACAGGCAAGCATTAGGATAGGGTTGTGACAACCAAAGCAAGTAAAATAAAGTGGTTCTTTCTGGCTTGATCATGCAGTATTAACGTTAGGCTTCACCAGGTTTACAGCTCTACCTCTCAGAGCAGTGAAAAGAAACCAGAATTGCTTCTCTTACACAGCCAGAGCTTCACAAACGGATTTTTTTCCCCCCACTTATTTTAACAGGTAAAAGTCAAATTAATCAACAAAGCAACATGTTTCAACTATAAGGACTTCCAGTGCTAATCATTTGTGTGGTTTTGTTCCCAGCACTGGAATCGCTGCTCTGAAATATATGTATTTACAGGCAGGCACCTACTTTCAGCATCCTGCTGAGCAAATTCCATCAGAGCTCTCTGAACACACTAAGAGCAGCCAGGCTGCACTGATCCTTCAGTGTATTTATTACAAAGGGTACAGCAATTACTTTTCCTTCAAGGCTAATCCAGATTTGAAAGGTAAAAGTGTTGATGATACGCAAAACCTCTCAGTATTTAAATTTACGCTGCAAACTGAAACGAGTTACAGAGAAACTTGTAGAGGGACTGCAAAGCTCTGGTGTGATGGTTCCCATCCTCCTGTATCTTCACACAGTATATGGAGAGTGGATTCTGTGTGTTCCCATCTGAACATACATCCTAGGAGCACCGAGGTTGCAAAGCCCACTCCCATCTTCTGGTTTTATTTCTCCCTGTGACTCCTCAAACTGTTGTTCCCCAAAGAAATGAAATGATCCCAAATCCATATTTATACACTTGCAGTCCCTCTACCTTTGTTTTAGCCCAAACATCCCTTCAAACTTTGCATAAGGAAACTCAAAAGTTTAGGACAAAACCATCCTCTTTAGGCAACAACACAACAAGCTGAAGCTTAGCCTATAACGCTCCTTTTATAACATTTTCCCCCATCCCCAAATAAGAATCAAAGTCCTGAAAGCCCCAAGCACCTCAGGTTTTCTACCTGCAGCAGCCAGCAGGGAAAGCAGAGAAGACAAACTGGAATTATAATACTTGAAAACAAACTTTGAACGCTCTAGCGAAGGAAAATTGGTATTTTGCAACCACTCTGAGTATGGTTGAGGCACTGTTTGTGCTACTGCTGGCTCGGAGCTCAGCCCAGTGTAAAATACCCCATGATGACACTTTAAATGCAGTAATAACCCTTCTTGTACTGTGTTTTAAGAGTTAAAAGGCGTCTGGGCACTCCACAAGTGGATGGGGTCAGCAGGGCACGTAGGTCATGAGGGAGAAGACCAGTTACCTCACACTGAGTGTGTCTGTATTTGAATTTAAAGATCACAGAAGGCTTACAGTGCAAAATTTAACCTCTCAGTTTGCACCAACAGCAGGCAGAATGAGGAGGTCACCTCTAAAGCACAAAAAAGGACCCCTCCAGTAAGGAGGAGCAACCTCATTCCAGCCTCCACTAGTGGGGTCACATCCCAATCCTTGGGCAGGTTTGGGCCCTTCACAAGAGATTGAGGGGCTGGAGCGTGTGCAGGGAAGGGAACGGAGCTGGGGAAGGGGTTGGAGCACCAGGAGCAGCTGAGGGAGCTGGGGGGGCTCAGCCTGGAGAAAAGGAGGCTCAGGGGGGACCTTCTGGCTCTGCAATCCCTGACAGGAGGGGGGAGCTGGGGGGTAGATGGGCTCTGCTCCCAGGGAACAGGGACAGGAGGAGAGGGAACAGCCTTAAATTGCACCAGAAGAGGTTTAGGATGAATACTGGGGAAAATTCCTTCATGGGAAGGGTTGTCCAGCCCTGGCACAGCTGCCCAGGGCAGGAGGGAATCCCCATCCCTGGGGGGATTTTAAAGCCCCGTGGAAGGTTTGCGTGTTCCTCATCCCCTGCTACGGAAAGAGGCTCTGCTCTCATTTCCTCCCTCCATCCCCACAGCTGTGTCCAGCCCCGGCAGGGCACCCAGCACTGCTCTGCAAACAGCTCAGCTGAGGCCCAAGCAGTGCCCTGACCCACACACTGGCACAGGATGGGTTGTTGGAGGATTTGTCCTTTCCAGCTCTGAGAATCAACTGACGTTTTGGTGATTGTGGAAGTATTTCCTGGGAATCAGCAGCTGGCCAGGATGAAAAGCCTGGTCATCATCACAACTCACTGAGGGTTACTGAGGCCTAGAGACATCCACAGTTACTGAGCATCTGAGAACCCAACAGCACACACAACCCAGGAGTCACACAAAACCTATTCTGACACCTCTGTGTTTAGATCTGGACTGGAACAAATAAGAAACAAGTGACTTTGGTTTGGGTCTTGTGGATTTTCTTCATCTCCACACTTGTCTATATGGCAGTAATATATTCAGGGCTGATCTTTGGTGGCCTGTGTTCAGCTTGAGTACATCACTGAGGATGCAGTTCAGTTTGTACCCCCCCCTCTAAACCAGGCAGGATTGCTCCTGGATAGAGGAATAAACTGACCCAGGGCAGTGGTCCCAGCACCAAACCTGTCAGAGTTCCAGAAGCGTTTGGACAACACTCTCAGGCACATGGTGGGATTGTTGGGGTGTCCTGTGCAGGGCCAGGAGTTGGACTCGATGATCCTGATGGGTCCCTTCCAGCTCAGGAAATTCTATAATTCCGTGAGTTTGCTTTATTCTTGTATTTTAATTAAAGCAATGGGAACATGCCAAGCTGGCCAGCGAAGGCCTTCATCCTGCACCACAAACTCGCTACAAAGGATTGGATTGCTGCACATTTCTGGTTTGTTTTTGTAGGAGAGCTCAGCAAACCTCACTGCCAACACTCAGGGTGAGCAGCGGAGCCGCCGGTGCCCTGGCTGGACCCGAGCCCTCCTCCAGCCCTGGCGTGTGCTCACGCTCCCTCCAACAACATGAGCTGGCTTTGTTTGCCTCAGCTGGCTCCCCCCGCTGTTTCCTGCAGAGTGCAGATGTCAAGATCAAACAAACACAGCTTTGGTGGCCGGGCCATGCAGCGAAAACAAGTGTCGCTGGGATGGGGCAACTGCTCATCGCTCGGTTCCTCTGTGCAGGCCACAGCCATCCCCCTCCTTTCCTGCACCTGTGCCAGGACACCTCCCAAAAAACCGGGGCTGGGAGCAGGCTGAGGAAAACATCTGGGCAAAGGGGGCATGTCCCCTGGCGCTAAGGAAGCCCCAAAGGTGGCCTCAGCTGGATAGTTGGGACATATTTCACAGCGTGGAGAAGATCCCAGATTCACCTTCCTACTGCACTGCTCAGATCTGGGTTGGAGCTCAGCCCAGCATAAAATGCCATGAGGCCATTTTAAAGGCAGTAATAAACTTCCTTGTACCATCTTTTAAGATGTAAAAAGAGCCTGGGCACTCCACAAGTGGATGGGGTCAGCAGGGCAAGCGGGTCACGAGGGGAAAAGACCGGTTGCCTCACACTGAGCACATCTGTATTTAAATTTAAAGGTCACAGAAGGTTTACAGCTCAAAATCTAGGAAAAAAAACCCTAGATGCACTGCATTTAAATTGGACTTTTTATTTTTCTCAGATTGGAGCAGTTAAGGTTTGAGTGGGAGGAAGAAGTGGCAGCAGCAGCAACCATCACCTCCTGCTACCAAACAGGTGGGGAAGAAGAAAGCCAAACACCAAGCCAGGAGTTGCACTGGTGTCATATCCTTAAATATGAGCCCTAAGAGGGGTAAAGGATAAATTCTGTGCCTGGGGTCCCATCTGTGGATGCTCTGAATGCTCCCAGATACATGAATCCAACAGGAGCTGGCAAATGACTGTTGGTTTGACTTCATTACCCTCCTTCCTATAAACTCAGCCCTCCACAAGTACAGGGGAGAACTCAACTAATTCAATAATTACACCAACACAGAATCATGGAATGGTTTGGTTGGAAAGGACCTTAAAAAACCATCCAGTTCCAGCCCCTGCCACGGGCAGGGACACCTTCCACTAGCCCAGGTTGCTCCAACCTGGCCTTGGACACTTCCAGGGATCCAGGGGCAGCCACAGCTTCTCTGGGCAACCTGTGCCAGGGCCTCAGCACTCTCAAAGAATTTCTCCCTAATATCTAATCTAAACCTGCCTTCTGTGGGTTTAAAAGGCCACTCCACCTTCTCCTGTCCCCACAGCAATCCTCTGAGGTATTCCTTGCATATTCCTGGAAGTCTGGCAGACAAGACCAGTGGATGCTCTGAACAAGTATCCCAGAGCAACTTCTCCCTCACCCAGCTTTATCTAAGCAGGAGATTTAAAAGATGCAGGTGTTCTGCAGAGAAAAAAAAAAAAACACTCTCTGATTGCACAATCAAAGCACACATAAGGCAAATTAGGGATTCCCAATGAAGCAAGAGAAATCTCTTACTTCAGATTGCTTTGCAGTGTCAAACTCGCTCTTGGAAGGTGTTCTGCTTGCATGAGAGATACCAATCCTGAGAATCTTTAAAACAAGGAGTGTGCTGAGATTTATCCTGAAGGATTCAAAGGATGACCCAAACTTAGGGGAATGGGATATTGGCCAACCCCTCACCGATGTATCTCTGCTAACATGGTTCACCTGCACAAGCACCTCCTGCCAATCCTGGTGGGGGAGGAATTTGTTAAACCCCGAGGCTTTTCATGGACACTCAGAATTTAACCAAAAATGGGGACCAAGGGGCTGGAAAGCAGCTTCAGGAGCTTGCTAAGAAGGCACTGCAGTCCTTCTGCTGCCATTAAAGAAGGGTCTCAAAGCTCATCTGAAAACAGGAAGCCTCAACCCATCCTTCAGTTCTAATCCACGTAATTTGAATAATCCACCAAGAAAAAAAAAAAACCAAAAAAAAACCAAACCAAACAGATGTACTGCATTTAAAATGGACTTTCACATCAATAACTTCATGGTTGCTCTATTTGGTGCATGTTTAAAAACTAAACCTGTCTCAACTAACTCGAAATCAGAGCTGATGGGAATTCTGCACATCCAGGTAGAAGTGCTGACAAAGGGCTGCTTCAGTTTCTTTTTTTTCCTCCCCCTGAAGACTCTGAGTGAACACAGAAGAGGCAAACACCACACACATTTGCAGCCCTGAATTTCCCTCTGACGAGGGGGCAAAGCAAAGATCTGCACTGAAAAACAGCCTCGCAGGACTTACCTTTCGTGATGCCTTTGATGGCATCGAGCACGAACGTGATGGATATAAAAAGTGCAATTATTTCTTCTGTTGACCTGTGGAAAAAAATCCCAGGAATTAATACAGCTGCATTCGACTCTGTTCAAAGGAGGAAAAAAAAAAAAAATCAGCATATTCACTCATTTACATGAAAATACGCCCATTTTAGTTAAACTCCAGCTTAGGAAAGAAAAGCCTGTGAATCTCTGAGAGCTTCTTTCAAGCTGGAACAATAAGCCAAAATGGTACTTGCCTCATCTCACAAAATACGTTTTTGCAGCCAGTTTGTAATTAAGGAGCTTGTGGAAATGTATAATTTTTCCATTTGCTGAATAATCTGATCAAAATAAGACCCTTTTGAAAAATAGCTACCTTTTAAAGAGCTTCATCAGGAGGCTGAAATTAAAGAGGGAGTACATCACGAGGAAGAAGCTGTTCCACAGTCCAATCCAGGCATAGAAAGCACTGAAATCCAAGTTGTAGTCATCACAGATTCCTCGGATGACTGCAGGAGGGAAGCATCCATGTGTCAGATTAAACCTGTGTCATCGCCGCCCTGGGATTCCCATCTGCTCCACGGCACAAGGAACCAATTCCAAGCCTTCGCCCCAGCGCACAGGAACCATTAAACCCCCGTCCCTGCACTCCCAGAGGGACACATTGGATCATCCCAAACTGCTCTCCCCTTCCCACTAGGAACGGGGAGAAACACCTGGGAAAACATCCTCTCCCACTGCTTAAAGCATCTTTCCCTGGGAAAGTCTCTTATCCCCAAAGCTGGCTGAAAGCAGCCATATGAGAAAGCCATTAATGGAACAGATTTCCTCGTGGAAGCTGAAGAAATGCTCATTTTCATGATTTTTTTTCTGTGCAAAAGGGATTTCTTTGGAAAACAACTTCAACTAAACCAGGAGTTGGTGTTGATGATCCTCGTGGGTCTCTTCCAACTCAGGATATTCAGCGATTTGACAAAACTGGAATCAAATTCCTTCCCTCTCCCTCGGCACTCGAATCCTAGAATAGCCTGAGTTGGAAAGGACCTACAAGAACCATCCAGTCTTGGCTCTGGCCAAGGCACTCCAAAAATCCCACCCTGTCCCTCTGAGCGTTGTCCAAACCCTCCTGGAGCTCTGGCAGGTTGGTGCCATGACCACCTTTTCCCTGGGGAGCCCGTTCAGTGCCCAACCACCCTCTGGGGGAAGAACCTTTTCCTTTTACTATCAATTTATTAAACAAACACAGCTAAAGCTCCCACAGGACTGCAGACAGAGCCCCATCCCACCAACCCCGTGGCAGACTCACCGTTGATGTAGAGGGCCAGAGGAGCTGTGGTAAGGAGGACAACCAGAGGTTGCCCCGAGAAGAGGGCGTAGAGCAGCCCCCCAATGCACTGCCCCACGATTGTCTTCCTCACATCTGGAAGGAGAGAAACAACAAACAGGGGTTTTAATCAACACCCCTCCTCCCCCAGCTCAAGGAGCACTCACAGGGCAGAGGAGCCAACCAGTAATTAGTAGGAACAATGTGTAGAGTTTACAGAGGGGTAACACACTGTGAAAGCAAAATAACCCTCTGTACTTGTACCAGCAATTCAGGTTTCCAGATATTCAGCTAAAATAGATGACCTTGTGCATAATAGTGTGGGCTTTGCTTTGGGGTTTTTTTTTAGTGTTTGGGTGTTTATGTATATACATTTGTTGCATTTTAAACAGCTATAAAACATAACCAGTGTTTGTGGAGGCCTCCAGGACAAGATTGGGACACAGACTCCTATGAGCTGTGACAGCAGCATGAAATGCTTCAGGGCCACAGCTGGGACAAAGGATGATGCTTTTGCTCTATACCAGTGGTTTGGATACTGGCAATCAAATTCAGATCAAAAGCACAGCAACTTCTACCAGGAAAAACGTGCAGGTTAATTACACAGTTCTAAAGTGAGCATAATTTAAAATACAGTAGGATAACACGTCCATATCTGTCCAAGTCCGAAGCAGTGTTCAGTTTTTCTGGTCTTCTAAGAAAGTCATGAATTAATTAGGAAAAAAACTCCAACCCTTCAGTCATGGTTTTGTGCTGGGTTTTTTTTTCCCCCCTCAGTAAATAAAAACTACGAGAACTTTGTGTGTCCACAGTTTAAACACATGGAATGAGACGCACAAAACTGATCAACTCACCAATAGCTCCTCGTGTATTTTCATCATTGAGCGACCCGAAGGCAATGGATGGCAGGAGGCAGGCAAAATACAGGAAGATCATCGTGGTGATGTATTTTCCTATAGCTTTGTTGTTTCCAATAACACCTAGTGCAGAAAACACAACAAAACCCCACATCAGTGCTGCCCAAAAAGCACTGAAACCTCACTCACACCAGCCACGAGAGCCATTAGTTCTTCAGGAATTCAGTCCACGCTTCAAACACGTAAGCAGGTTGTTAACTTTTGATTTTGCACAACCACGCTCCTTGGTTCACCTGGGACCACAAGCACCAACGTGCCCACCAGACATTTTTGGCACCGCCAAAAAAAGGGAAATACAAGAAGTTCTCTCCACAGTTTTACCAGTGCCAAAAGCTCGGAAGAGGATCAAGGCAGAAACTGTGAGTTTAGGGTTCATAAACCCCCATCTCTGCCTTTTTAACACCAACTTTCATAAGTACTCTGGATTAGGTCCCAAATGAGCTTCACGATGATCACTTGTCTTCCCAACTCATCACGTCTTGGGCAGGAAAACACGAAGCTCTTGTTGTATTTTTCCCTTTGTCCCCCAGGTTATAGGTTTGAATCAATAATACGTTACCCTGAGCCAATTAATGGTAGCAGATTACAAAAAGAAACAGCACAGGAGGGCAGGAATTGAGACATTGAGATATGCTTTAACGAGCCCTGCTGACAGAACAGCTTCTTTCTTTTCCATCCACTCACCACCCCCTCTTCTCATCTCCGTCGGAAAAAACACAGCAGGCCAAAACAAAAAGCAGCCAGAAAGAGAATTAAAGTGTCAGACTATGAATTTAAGGGCCTGTGAAGTAGCTCTGCTTCCCTTTCCTGTTTTCTGGCTGATGTTGCATCCCCAGTGAGCTCATCTCACACAGGAGAGAGCGAGAGCAACAACGGCTGATACAGATCGAGGAGAACACGACTGTTCCCACACAACAGACAGACTGGAGAGAGTCTTTCTCCAAGAAAACCTTGCAACAGCCCTGTTTCAAGGTGGCCTGGCCTGTGCCACCCCCTCCTTGATGGTGCTCTGGCTGCAAAGCACTTGGGACAAGCTTGGAGGTGCCGAATTCCCCCCTTTCTGGAAGCGTCCGGAGCAGTGAAACCCCACACAGGCTCCTCGATTCCCAACAAAGCTTTTGCAGGATCAGCCCCTTGCTGAGAGAGGTAAAAGCCAAGGAGTTGGATCAGAGAAGGGAGGGAGGACTCGGCCTTAGAGGTTATTGAAGCAACACTGAAAATCTCTGTCAATGGGATGAAACAAAAAAAAAAGGTCTCTCGGATGACTTTGGGATCTTATCTAACATCTGGTTTTCTGCACCGTTTGCAGCGCAGAGATAAGGACAGAGAGAGGATGCAAAACCCAAAAATCAAAGGTGGTGAGTAATGAACAGGCAGCCACAGGAATGAAGGACACCTTGTGAGGTTCCTGTTCGCAGACACAAGAGGAACAGACGTAAATAGGACCTCTGAGCATCCTTAAACTTCAGGCTGAAACTCGACAAGAGACATCTCAAGCACGTAAATATGAGCTTGACCTTCCGGGAGCCATCGGGCCAGCTGTTCCCAGGGAAAATTCCTTGCAATTTCTTGTGAAGATTCAGAAAACCACAGGCCAACATTCCTGACCGCTCCTGGCAACCAAAAGGCCCGAAATGTCGTTCTCAGAGATGAGCACTGCTCATGTGATCCCAAGCCCAACAGCTGCAGGTCCTACCTCGCACTCCAAACTGCCCGAGGCCTTTGGAGACAGGGAAAGATTTGGCAGGGATTGAGTGGTGGTTCTGTAAGTAGAGATGGTCCTATCCTTGTTCAGAGGGCTGTGTGTCACTCCAAAATACTGGGGTTTGGACAAAGGAATCTTTCCAACGTGAAAATTCAGAAGCAACGATGTCTGAAAGCTTTGAAATCCTAAAGCTTTGCCTTCCTAAAAGGACAAGCAACCAGGACCAGAGAAGCAAATATATGTATTTTAAAAAAAGGTTTGGGTAGTTAAACTACAGTATGAGAGGGCAGAAGGAAGGAAGAAGCCTTGAAAAGTATCAGCAAAACTCATCCGTGGCTTTTGGTTTCAGTTCCAATCCTTGCTGGTCATGGAGGTCCTTATGTCACATAAGGATGGGGCCTCAAGGGGAGGTTTAGGTTGGACATCAGGAGGAACTTCTCCATGGAAAGGCTTGTCAGGGGCTGCCCAGGGAGGTGGTGGAGTCCCCACCCCTGGAGGTGTCCAAGGAAGGACTGGATGTGGCACTCAGTGCTCTGGGCTGGGGGACAAGGTGGGGATTGGACACAGGTTGGACTGGATGATCTGGGAGGTCTTTACCAACCTCAATGGTCCTGTGATTCATCCTGGCTTGCGTCCAAGACTTCCAGTACTCTCCTTAATCCATAATCAGCCAGATGAGATCCAAGGAACAAAGAATCTTTCCGGTGGGCAGCAAAATTCACTTTGCAACGGAGACAACTACACCAGATAACATCTACCCTTCCACAGACATGACTGCTCCCAAAAAATCTCCCCTTCCACAGAGATGACTGCTCCCAAAAATCTCCCCTTCCACAGCCATGACTGTTCACTGAACTTCAGTTAAAGTCCTGACCTAACACTGCCTCCTTGCACAGATCCACCTGTCACAAGCACTATAATCCAGCCTTAACCACAATTTACCTTTTGCCTTCTTGAAGTCGACATCTGGCAGAGCATTTTCAGGATGCATTTGCATCATTTGCAGCCTGACTCCACACTCAGAAGAAGGTGGGCTGTGCTATGGTGGCATTTCACCTGTGACAGGCTCATAAAGCCACTGAAAAACGTGTCACTCCAATTGCACCGTGAACATTTACAGCACAAAGATCAGCTCTGGCTGCAGCTGTGAGGTTTGGGTAGCTGATTATTGCAGGAGCAATCCCCTGACATTAAGGTGTATCTACACATTGAAATGGGGAGCAATTATATTTTATATTCATCAACGTGACAGTTCTGCTGTAACTGCCTGGATTTCTGAAATGTCACAGTTTTGAGAGACAAGGGGAGAGTTTCAGAGGAAACTGCGACATTCCTGGCCTTGCTTTGCCTGGGAAGTGGAGACCCAAAGACTGGGCTATGAGCTCCTTAAGTCTATTCATTTCACATTTACTAAACCAAAGTCTTGACTGATGGACCTTCTATGAAATATCCATCTATGTTAATGTTACTTTCCAATTCCCTGAAATATCCTGTGCAAAACAAGTTGAATTACACTGACCCACAGCCCAGCAGAAATGGCATGTCTATTAAAGCCCTAATTTAAAAAAAAAAATTCATATTTTAATATTAAGAACACCATAAGAGTATCTGTTCATAGGTCTTCAGTCATAAAACCCCAGAATTACAAACTTCTAACGCCCTCAAGATGGGCTTTTTCCTCCTTCCTCAACAATGGAATCCTGCAAGACAAGGTGGCCAGGGCAGCCAAGGTGGGAGAGTCCAAGATCTGGCACACCCAAATCCAGAGGCAACATTCCAGAGGGTTTAAGCTCCAAGTTCCATCAGACAACCAGCAAGACAAAGAGTTCCCTTTCCAATCCCGTTTTTCCAGTGCCCTCAAGCCTTCCACCTGAGCACACCCGCATTACAGGGAGTGTTGAAGATCTCCCTCCTGCAAACACCTCACCCAAATTCCAAGGATTCTGCCTTATTCTCAGAAGCTGGTCAGGGACCCTCTGCAGGACCAAGGACAGGGAGAAATCCACCCCTGCAGCTGAACTATCCACCCACCACGGCCACGTACCAAAGACACAGGTCCAGAAAAACAGGGGGAAAAGGGAATAAGCCTCAATCTTCCTCTTTTTCCTCCACTCTCCCTCCTCCCAAGGGAGGGAGAACACGGCAAAGCTCACCAGAAACATCTCAGGCACCTCAAACTTCCCACTGGGCACTTCAGGCACTACCTCGGTGTTTAATTCTCTGTGTTGTACCACAAAAAAACAGACACTGAAGAATAAAGACAGCAACTTTTAGGAGGGTCAGAAAACTTGTATCTGAGCTTAGGCAGGTTTCCCTCCTTCAGTCAAACCAGCCTCAATATAAAGAAATTTCAGGAAGCTCCCGTGGCTTGGCTGAGATGTAAAGAGCAATAAAATGGATACAGGAGTGTTTTGAGCCTCTCTGACAAGATCAGGATGAATCATGATCAAATCACATTATTTTTTTGACCCAGCACAATCCTGTATGCAAGGGCTGAAGGCATTAAGAAGAGAACACGTGCCAAGCGGTGTGAATTCCAGTTTAAAGGAAAACTACAGGTGTTTTTAGGCTCAGCATGATCCAACTGTTTCATCTTCGTGTGCTGCTGCTGGAAGACATCTATTACAAGCAGCTACAGCACTAAAATCCCGGACCAAAAGTTAAAAAAAAACCCTTCCTTGATCTCTGCACATTCAGGAAGATGCACAAGGCTCCAGAAAACAAAGCTGACAGGCTCCTAATCTGGAGTAAAAAAGGAAAAAGAAGACAAAGACTATTCCTTTCTTTCCCAGGTCATGGTGGTTAAGGATAATTTAACGGCCAGATATGTGTAGTGTGGGAATAAGACCAATCCCACAGAACTCCAACTGACCAAAGATGTGCTGGTCCTACAGCAGCCTCACCATTTATCACCCTGCCCTTAATGGATTTATCTGTCTAACCCAAACCCCGGGATTGCTTCCCAGGTCGAGGATTTAGAGACTCCAACCACTCAAAAAAGCAGCATCTGTGCAATGCAGAGCTCTTTGATGATGCACATGTGGCTGTCTGGAGCGCAGATACACTTGGATAGTTCAAATCCCTCATGTTCTGAGACTCTGCTGCCTTGAGATGGTCCAGGAATTCCACATTCCTGATCACCTTCAGTCTCACTGGTTTTATGGCAGATGCTTTATGCTCCACCTGGTTTTCATTTCAAGCAGCTCCTTAAGGAATTCATCCTAATTTCTGGCTTCTGGGAAGAAATGGCACATACTAATATATAGGTTTGGGGTTTTTTTTTTCAAATTCCCCTTTCCCTATATCCTATTTGAAAGGGCACAACTGTTCCTGGGGCAAGAACTTCCCATTTGAGCTGAAGTGGTTCTGGAGTTTCACTGGGCTCTTTTCTGCACCCCTAGAAGTTTTGTAACAATGTTTTTTAACATAAAAAGTTATATTTTATACCAATTTTATACCCACTCTGTGCATCAGGGCATGGAAAGCCTGTGGAGCTGGGCTCCCCAGGGCTGAGGCAGCACACACAGGTTGAAATTTGGATGCCTTCTGAGCCAGAACAGGGACCTTCAAGTGGGTTTCCAAATCTGCTGACAGCCGATTTCACACACTTCATCCTCAACACACCTCAAATCCCCAGAGAAATCAGCATAAGCCTGACTCCAAACGGAGCCTCCTTATCCCCCTAAAACTCCTGGGAAGAGTTTCATCCCAGCAGGGACAGAGCAGCTGGAGAAAGCATCCAGCTCTCAACCCCTGTGCCGAGCCAGCAGCTCATCTCATTCTCTGAGTGGATACCACGCAGCACACTGTGGGGAATGAAAGCATTCCCAGCTGGAAAAGCTGGATCTCTGTGGGAAGCAACTCCCCAGACACAGAAGGCGTCTGATAAACCCCGCAGGGTTCTCCCTGCCTGCACTCCACTTTTTAATTTATGCAAACTTCCTGTTGTTTGATACTTGAACACCCTAACCAGCTCACCAGTAAGCCCAAGAAAGGCGTTTTGATGTCAGGCTGGGGCTCTCCAATCATGGTTTGCCCTGAAGACTTCTCCCAGCCTTCAAGGATCCCTGAAAGTTTGAAAGAGAAACGGGACGAAGCGACTTTTTAAACCCCACGAGGCCACTGCACAAAGCCCCCCAACCTGGGGCTCAGTGTAAACTCTGTGTTGTTGCTGCTGGGATCTGGTGAGAGCAGACAAGCTATATCCTGTTTTTCACAACACCAAGCTGTGAAGTTACTGCGGGGCTCCCATTTTTGTTGAAGCATTTTCAACTCCCACAGCATCGCTGGAAATACGGTTGGTGATGGACTGCAAAGGCAGAAGGAAGGGTTTATTAGGCCAGTGCTGACTAATTAGGCTGCAGTGAGTTGGTCTGAGCCTCCACACGGCAATAATCGATGCATTTAACGGCCTCGCTGCTTCACAAAAATTAAAATCCTCATCTACACCCCGTCAGCGCCTTAATTAAGGAAACACTGCAAGCTCCGCGTCTCCAGTGCACCACCCTGCCCATTCACAGCCTTTTGTCAGATTGTTCTTATTTAAATAAGGAATGAGAGGGCTATTACACATATCAAAGCACACTGTAAACAGGACATCACATCACCAAAAACACACACAGAAAAAAAAGAAATCCCAAGCCGGGCCCAGGCTTTCATAAACATTGGCCAACCTTACCATCGGTGAAGTCCAACGCGTACACTGGAAACCTTCGTGCAATGTCATCAGAAATCCCCTTGCCAACGTTGAGGAACTCGTGCAGCTGAAGAGAAAGGAAGGAAGTGCTGTGTCAGTGCAAAGGCTCCACGCATTGTTCGCGAGATCGAGCTCCTCATTCAGCCCGGAGAGGGGCAGAGCTGCTGGATTTCAATAGCGCATTCAACTCCCCCCCGCCTTGTCGTGGTAATAAAAATAAACTCGTTGGGTCTCGATTTATATCCTCAATAGCATAGTAAATGAGAAAATATTCCCTCCACTCCCACCCACAGACCACCCTGTTTTCCTCCCTTCCTTCCCTTTTTCCCCCTCCCGTCCGTATCTGCATCCCTGGGTTTTGCAGGTGAGGGAGCTGAGGACCCACTGCAGAGGGTTGCACCTTGGGTGCCCCTGGGGTTAAACATCAGAGATGCCAACTTTTTTTCTTTAGATTGATTCCAGCCCAAAAAAAACCTCTTCCCCCAAATCCACACGAAGGGGGATCCCCAGCAAGTGCTCCATCCATTGGAGTTAAAAGCAGACCTCAGAGAAGATGTAAAAAGGGAATTAAGGTTGTCTTCACCTCCAGCTCCACCACCAAAAGGGAACAAGCTTGAATAACTGCACATAAATCCAACCTATAATTTTTTCCCATTAAAAGGCAGTAAGAACACCGTAGAAGGGTTCCAAATATCCAGCATATTCCCTTTCATTTCTGGTCTGGGGGGCCTGCAAGGTGCAGAGTGATTGCTGACCCGATCCCGCGCTCACCACAGGCAATAAAGGAGCTCGTCAGGAATAGGTGACAGCTGCTATTGACTCTCAGCCTCCCAATCCTCCCAAACCCATCCTTATGGAAAGCACATGGAAAGAGTCAGAGTAGGCAACACTTGCAAATGAGGCACCTGTCAGATTTTTTTTTTCCCCACTGTTATTCTCTGAGCACACACACACACTACTCTGAAAAATCAAATGCACCTTTCCAGAGCGATAACAACCCCGGCTGTCTCATTTAAAACATTTCATGTATTCGCTGCAGAATTAGACACAAAAGACTTTTTATAACCTCTGCTAGAGGGTGTAAAGGAGGGGGGAGGGCGGAAATAAACAATCACAGATCCAAAATTTACACGGAGAGATCATCTGAAAGCAGCAGGGAGCTCTTGCTTTGGTTTGGTTTATGTGGAAGCTGATGAAAATTACTGCTGTAGAAAGGACTCGACACTACAGTGCTCGTTTAGATGACACACAGCTTGGCCTTCTCTGCTGGGACTCACCTGTTTGCAGCACCTGGAAGATCAGATAATAAAACACAGAAAGGAAACTTCTCCTTTAGGAGGAGTGCACTGGGCACAACAAACTCGAGGGTTTGGGGTGTTAAAAAAAGACACCTCGGAGGACCAGCTCATTTATCGGGATATGTTCTCTCGTATTTCATACCTAACTCTGCTGCAATTTGCCAACACCCCTGTGGAATTTTAGAACAGCTTAAAGCCTAACCTGAACAGTGAGGATGGAAAGACAGATGTGACGCTGGCAGACACCAGCAAGCCATCTGCATTTTAAGGATTTTTGAAGAAGCCACATTCAGGGGTGGGGTTGGACATCAAAGCCACATGCACTCCAAAAACCAATTTAATTTCCCCCCCTCTCCCCCTCCCCCCACCAGAAAGAGATTCCTAAAGGCATGAGTCAGCCAGAGAATCACAATGGCTTTAATGACAAGGATGTTTACTTATCATGCTGCAGTGAGCACAGGGAAAATGATGCTCAGGGTGTCTCATCTTCCGGGGCAGAGGCACAGGGAGGGAAGGGGCACCTGGGCACAAAGGCTGCTTGTGGGGAGCTGTGAGTGGCACTTCCAAGGGTGGGGCAGCCATAGCTTCTCTGGGCAACCCATCCTTGGGCCTCAGCACCCTCTCAGGGAAGAATTCCCTCCCAATATCCAATGTAAATTTACCCTCCTTCAGCCTAACCCCTTCCCTCTTGCCCTGTCACTCCATGTCCCTGCCAAAGTCCCTCTCCAGCCTGCCTGCAGTCCCCTTTAGGCACTGCAAGGCTGCTAAAACAACAAGTTATAAAAGATGAAATAATATAAAATATAAAAGACCAAGTTTGACCGACCTCTAAAGTCACAGCCCTTCTTGATTTTGCTTTTACCCCCCAGCCTATCCCACCACACACACCTTCCCTGCCCAACTCTGCTCCAGCCACGTTTCAGTCTGATCCCTTTTGCCTCCTGCCATCTTCTGAGGATCCCAAAAACCTCGGTAAGGACAGTGCTGACACTTCACTCTTGTCCTTTTTCATGTCCCTCATACACCCCAGTGCTGGAAATGTTTTGGACTGCCATTCCCTGCTCCTTTCTCCCTCGGAGTGTTAAGTTTGGTTGGCTCATTGGCTTCCCACTCCTCTTCACGATGTCATCTCTCAATGAGATTGAGATTTAACCACTTTTGATTTAACATCCTGACCCCAGGTGGCCTCAGGAACACACAGCTCCAGGCTTATCAGCTTTAGGAGCTGCAGCTCAGGAGCACCAAATCCTCCTTCAGGCTCCTTGTAAGTCCACCCAGTGTTCTTCTCCTGCTGTTTTTAACACACAAATCAGAAAAAAGCAGCAAAGGAGCCAAAAAAAAAAAAAACCAAACAACTAGAAGGTCATGGATTATCCACTTTCCATTCCAGAAATCCCTCTTAAATCTCTTGCCCTAAGTGACCAGTACTTGGGTTATTGGGAGAGGCTGAGCCAGCACTTAACAGCAGCTAGAGAGCCAAACAGAAAATATCTGCCCCAACAACTCTGCCCCTTTCTCAGCCCTCCACAGAAGTACTGGAGAGCTGAATGAGGTTGTTTTTACAGACCAGAGACTCACACTATATCCTCCCTCCTGCTGATGCTGAGCAAGCACAGCCCCCACCCCCCCACCCCTCAGCAAATCCACCCAGGACACAAAATCACAGCCAGGAAACATCCCAGCTGTTCAGGGCTCCTCCATGAGCAAAATCACAATTAGATGCCTCAGTAAACAAGAGGATTTCAGGCTGACTTAATTATGATTGAGTACGTAGCCTTGCCTAAATAATCCTCTGAGATGAGCCAAAGCAGAGTGACAGTGCTGTAGGCACAGCATGGAATGTGACTGGCACATCCCCCTCAGTGTTTTTAGCAGAGGTAAAAAACAAGCACTTGCAAAAAAAGAAAAAATCCCACTCAGAATTTAAAGCCCTTTTCTCCCTCCATCAGTGCAGGACCAAGGGATGAAGGGAGGCAGGAGGGAGGTTTTCGTGTCACCAGGAGACTTTCCACCCTCCTGAGAGCTCACTGTGAGGACACAGCAGCTCCAGGGTATTTATTTCACCGGGGGTGGCTCACAGGTTGAAATTACAGCCCTGATCTCATGTGAGGTTGATGCTTCCATCCCTGCACAGGGGGAGGGGACGATGCTGGAGAAGACACCTCCAGCCCAGCTCTCCCTAAGGGCTGAAGGATAAAAGGGTTTAAAAAACAACAGTTTACCAAATCCAGACGACTGTCAATGCCCAAAAGCAAGAGCTGAAGAAACAAGAATCACTGTCCATCTACAGCTCTGGCTCAGAGGCATCAAAGCCCTGCCTGGCCAAGGCTGCTTTTCCAACGAGGCTGGTAGGAATCACCAGTGCCAACATAAGCTCAGTGTTGCATCCAGCCCTCCTGCTCACCAAAATAGAGCAGAAAACCCCCCTAGACACCTTAAAAGCAGCCAGTTTTAGGAGAAGACAGAGCCAGACGCTTCAGCTACTCTAATAAAAACTCTGTAAGGCCAAGGATAAAGGGTTAAACCTACTTTACCCAAATTACTGCTCCGAGTATCCCTGCCCTGCATGAACCTGGGTTTAAAGAGGGTTTCAGGGCTTGTTCTGCAAACCTAAGGGCAGGTATGGGGTCTAGCAAAGTTCAAAGCACTACCTATAAAGCAAGGGGATTCTGCAGGGAAAACATGAGCTTCGCTCACTTCCAGATGTGCAGATCAAACCCTTAAATCTATCCCAGGGAAAAAAAAAAGAGAGAGAGAAGTGATAAGTTAAGCAGCTCCTGCACTGTAAGCAACTCAAAGCTTTCAGGTTATTTGTAACTCAGGGACAGCAGCAGCAGCATGCTGGAGATGGCCCAGTTTGTTTTTCAGGTATGCTGTCTGCTCAAAGAATGGATTTCTGAAGGGGAAAAAACAAAGCAATGGCCAACACACAGGAAATTCCAGAAAAGAAAGCCGAGTTACAGCATTTCCCCCCGAAACTTTTAAAGCACAGAGCGAGTAATGCTTTACAGAGCTGCAGATCAAACAGGGGAGAAGCCAGGCCAAATACTGACAGGCAACTTTTTAAGTGAAATTACCGTGCAGAGATGGCCAAGAAGCCTTTTTGGCCGGGGGAAAGACAAGCAGCAGCTTCCATAGGAGCCTTCTGGTTGTAAGGACTAAGCACCTTGGACCAACAACACGCAGCGATCCATTAATCCCACCCTTGATTAAGCATCTTGAATCCCAGTCCTGTCACCATTTCACCCCTCCTACTGCTCTGCACCCCTTCAGCACCTGCCTCTTTGAAGTGGGGTGTTGTTTTTGGTGGTTTTCTTTTTGATTTACAGGAGTGAGGAAGACGGGTGGGCACACACAGCAGCCGTTTGTGGAAGCCTCAGTGCTAGGAGAGCTTCTTGCCTCCACTGGCCTCAAGTGCTTCATCCCCTCAACACCAAATCCCCCGGGATTTAAGCAGGTGGACACAAGGGACGCAGAGGTGACGTGGCCAGCCCTTACCCTGAGCGGTTTATGCCCGTGTGGCTTGTGGCCATCGCTCCTCCCCGAGGGTCTCTGGTTCACCACCGTCAGCAGGTGCCGCTGGTGGACCAAGGCCTCCTTGAACTCCTCCTCAGTTTTGGTCTCCAGGAGCTTCTGCCGAAAGGTGATGTCGGAGAACATCGTGGCAAAGGTCCTGCCCACTTCTGTGGCCGTTTTGGTGCTTTTCTGAGCGGGGGGGGGGAAAAAAAATAAATAAAAGTAAGAGAGAGAAAAAGGACTTGTAAAACGATTTCTTTTTTTTCTTTCGCTTCTGGAAAGTTAAACCCACTGGGCTCCATCTGAAGAGGAAGCTGCCTGGCTTGCAGGATCCCAAACACACCTGAGGGAGAAGGTGAGGAAGATGCTGCAGATGAAATCACCAAGCACAGCAGAACCTTGTGAAGCACCACCATATACAGGTCCTGAGCAGAAGCACCGATTACTTTACTTGACCAATTCCCCAGGACTCCATCCAAGGCTGAATCATGCTGAGCATGCACTTTATCCCTGGTTTTCTCTTCAGGGCTGCTAAGAATAGACAAATCAAAGCCTTTGCTATCTCAGAGCACCTCGGCATTACTGCTGCTGGGGTGGAGGGGTGCTGAAAGTCAAGAGACACTTCCAGCACGTAGAAGTGTCCTGATGTCCTATCTGAAAAGACTGGGATTATTGTGCTCGCCTGCTTCATCAGATCCCTATTTCCTGGGCATTAGAACTCAGCTCAGTCGGTCACTCTGGGGTAATTCTGGCAGCACAAGTGGAGATTTAGAGCTCACAGCTAAAAGCAAGAACTGGCACAGAGGGAAGGATGGGAAAGAAGCAGCTGAGCACACAGACAAGCAGCACTTGTCCATCTTCGCTAAGTATTTGGAAGGAACAGGAAATTTTCAAACACTTGAAGGAAAAGTGTCTTATTTGTGGGCTTGAACATTGCTGCGAGCCACAGGCCTGATCTTTGAGGGGACAACTTCAAACAGAAGCCAAGCCTGTTTCACTACTGCTTCAAGCACCTTGGATATTGGATACAAAGGGAACGGCAGAGGAGACTGAGCTCCCCACCCCTGCACAGATCCCCACTCTCCAAACCCTGATCTGCTCACACACCACTGCAGTCAGGCCAGATAAGACACCTACCAAGGCAAAGTTACACAGAACCAGAGCTCATTAAAAAGGCTCCTTTTGAAGCACAGTTTTAACCCGCCCACCTCTGCCACTCTCCACACTCCTCACGCAGCAGCTCCTGAAGACACCCAAACAACCCCCCCCCCCTCCTTTGGGCAGCCTCCAAGCTCCTCACACTGCTGGGAGGAGCAGCAGGGAGCATATGTGATGGATCTGAACTGCTCCTCGTGATTCAGAACACAACAGATGAACGGTTCCTTCGTGAACACAAGCAAATAACTCAGTGTGGCTCAGTGCAGGGGCACAGACACGTGGGTGGCACCGAGCTGGTCCTGAAATCATCACTCACTTTGTGCTTCTTCCATCACTCACACCACCCGCTCCTCCATTTGCCCAGAGAAGCTGTGGCTGCCCCTGGATCCCTGGAAGTGTCCAAGGCCAGGTTGGGCAAGGTTTTGAGCAACCTGGGCTGGTGGAAGGTGTCCCTGCCCGTGGCAGGGGATGGAACAAGGTGATCTTTAATTTCCCTTCCAACTCAAACCATTCCTAGGATTCCACTGCCGTCCCCTCCATCACCATAAAGTCCCTTCAGACACACCTGGCAGGACACGTTCCATTTAAGTTTCGAGGGAAAGGTTTGGATTTAAGTGAAGAATTTGCTCTGGGATGCGCTTTTAGAGTTTGCCAGCCTGGTCCTTTCAGACTGAACCATCCCTGTGATTTGCCATCACAGGGGAGGCTCCACCTTTCACCTCCAACCCTTGGGCTGGGGCTGCAAGGATTGCTTCAAGATTCCCAGTGCTGTCCCTGTTCTTTGCTTTCCCAGGGAGATGACTGAACCATTTAGAAGGAAGAGCACAGATATCTGCAAGAAAACTCAAATTTTTTTCCATCCTCCATATTAAAAAGGCCAAGGATCTGGACTGTCAGTACAACAGATGCTCATTTTCTGGGCTTTTCTCCCCCCCTCCTTGTTTAATCTGTCGCTGTCAGCAGGTTAATTATTTTAACTGCTGCACCAGAAATGCGCACTTGGAGGCGGCTGGACCGCCCCAGCTCAAATAAAAAGCCTTTTGGCAGCTGCAGCCCCGCTTGGCCTCTGCTCCCCTTTCCTCAATTCGAGGCTGCCCATTGGATCTGCAGAGTTTGGAGGGCTCGGAGCGGACGCGGAGCCGCTCGCCGGGTGCTCTGCACGGAGATAACGAGGCCACACAATGAGGGACAGATCCCTGCGGTCCCCAAATCCCCACACGGGCCCAGCTGCTCGCCTCCCGCTTTTCCCAAGGAACAGCAATAGGTTTTCAGCCTGTTGGCTTCGAGGTCTAATGCCAAAAAAGCATCGAGGCGGGGAAGGACGGGCCAGAAATCCTGGGGAAGGAGGAAACACCAGTATTTCCATTTAAACGAGGGCGGGAGGAGACAGACGGGCCAGAGCAGCAGGTCCCAAGGTCACGCTGATAGCATTGGAGAGCAGGAAGTTGAATCAGGATATATCCTGTCCCAGAAAAGGTCTCCAGCCTCTCCAGCACCTCCCAGAAGCACAGGCTCAGTAGCCCCAAGGTGCAAAGAGCCAGATGAAGTGTGAAAAGGTCTTGAGCTTTGAACCACTTGGCCATCAGCTGCAAGAACACCACCCCATCTTGGTCAAGCCAGTGCTTTCTAGGAAGACAGGATGGTGATCTCCAATTAACCTTGATGATGTTGGAGCTGCATGATCCTTGTGGGTGCCTTCCAACTCAGGATATTCCATGAGTGGAGTAAATGTGTTCACTGAGCCGCTTGTTGGCCTTGTCTACACCAAAGAACCGGCAAGGACACCTGAGCAAGCTTCAGACTTGATGCTTCAAGTGCCAAAAGCTAAGAAAATATATCCTAAAGGACATCAGGAACGCCTCACAAGCACCCCAGCATCCAAACAGTCTCACTCCTCTAGCAATAGAGCCCAAAAAACATCATCCTCCTCTTGGCTACACTACCCAGAGCTGCTGCATGGGTATAACTGTGAGCCCCACCAAGGCAGTTTGCTGGGAAATAACCCAGTGGAGCACCAGCTGTAGAATCACAAGAGCCTTTCACCAGCAGGGATAACCAGGAGCAGCACTTCTCAGCTCTAAAAACAGCAGCTGAAGTGGTAAAGCTGGAGGGGGGAAGCTGTGGAGTGACAGAGGCCCCCCGGGTGTGTGAGGGGACTGCAGACACACTGGCCCCGTGTTCTCCTCCCCATCAGGCTACAAGGAGACCAGGACACAGCTGACAAATCCACCCCTCAGGAGAGTCTAAATCATCTTGGCAACTGCTGAGAAGGTCTCAGGCCTTTTCACATCCCCTCCTGTTTCAGAAGCAGTAGTTACTAACCCCGGGAGCAGATCAAGGGGAAACCATCTCGGGTTTGGAGCCAACACTCACCATCTTGGGAGGAGCCAGGACCAGGATCACAAATCTCACTTCACAGGAGTTTTCCCCCCAGTTCTGAGGCCTCTCCAGGCGGCTGATGCAAACGTGACGTCGCTGAAGGGACTTTATAGTGCAACTGTGGGGGAAGAGGGGAGTTGTTAAGACGTGGGCACCACAACCCAAGGGCTGCTCTCTCCCGGCGCAGCAGGTTTACAAAACACACATTTCAACTCCCAGAAACACAAGGTGCTGTTGGTTGTAAAAAGAGTCCCTTCTGAAGTCTTAAAAGAGTGATTCCAAGTTATTGTTACCCCATTCTGCAGTGTTTTTTTTTTCCCCACAGCATTTGACATCCGTGTTTTTAGGGGAAATAACCTTCACAATCTGAGGGTTTTATTCTCTCTCCCTCTTCCTCTACCTGCTTTTTAACAGCCAAGACACCAGAAGACAGAGCCCAACACACGTAGTGTTTGCAGAGCTACAGAAGCTTCTGCAAGAAAAGCCTCTTATTAAAAAACATTACTGGAAAGCAGATTACACTTCATTTCACCTGATTCCCCAAAGTGCTTCTGGAAACAGCAAGGCAAGGTGCCAAACCAATATATTTCCACTTTTGCCTCGGGCAGAGATCTCTCTTGTAATGGCTTTCCCCATTTGCTCCCAGCTGTTTGTTTGGGTTTTTTTTTTTTCCCCTTTCTGGTGCCCATGTGTTACACAAACCAAGCTGCCCCCTCCTTGCTCAAGATCCTCAGAGGTCAGAGCAGGCAGGATTCCTGCTCCCAGGAAAATCCATGGCTGCAATCCAGCCCAGCTGGGGATGGGGTGGCTGTTTAGACTCCCCCAAACAAAGATTAGTAACAAGTTGTTTGAGATAAACACGGGGATCATCTCTGGAGGCCATGGAGGACCAGGTCTGTCTCCACCCTGGGATGTTTAAACAGAGCTGGGATTTGGTTAGTTGTCATTTTTCCTGCTGGGAAACTCTGGGGCTTGGTGGAGTTGCAGGAGGTGGATAATTCCAGCCTGGACTGCAGCTCTCCTGGTGCCTTTAAAGCCACCTCCTCCTCTCTCAACCCTCCTGAAAAGCACTGGTGAAAATGTAGACAGAGTTTGCCTCCTGACCCTGGAAAAGATATGGAAGTGTTTTCCTACCTCACAGTGATTTTTTAACATCCCCCCTCCTTTTTTTTTTCCCTGGTTCAAAGCTATTTCAACTTTTTGCTCCCTTTTATTGATCCAAAAAACACCTATTGTGGTCCTATGATAGGATTTACTTCTCCTTCAACTTCTCATCCATCATTCCAGCCCACTTCATGCCTTTTTAACGTGCATTCCCACAGCCAAGCACCCTAAAGGTTGTTCTACAACCAGCTCCTGAAGACCTGTGGCTGTAAATGCACTGGTCAGGAGAACACTGTATTTTCTATCAACTTCTCCATAATTTGCACTCAAAAATAATCACACCACGGAGCATTTTCTGACTGAGTTTGACTTCCTGATTGTAGATTGGAAGCAGCCTGCTCATATAAATTAATCTGACAAAGGGACTCGTCTGAGAGCAACCAAACAGCTTAATTAGAACAATACAGGTCACGAGAAAGATGACACTGTTTCATTTATTTCCTCCACCACAGCCCCTCGTGTCCTTTTTCTACTCAAATCAGCTCTGGAAGAGACAAATCTCCAGGCAGGTCCAAAGGTGAGGAATAAATACCTTCTAAAGTAAAATTGAAAACAGAGTGCAAGTTCCCTGCTGGACTCAACCAAGAGACTGGAGCTGCAACAATCCCTGTCCTTCCTCCCAGGGGATCAAAAGGAACACAGACAACACTTGTTTTCACAACCAAATCCAAGCCCTTGGTTGCAATCCAGCTGTAGAGCTGGAAGGCAGACAATTCTCCTCGTGTTCCAGTTCAACAAGCCCAGGGGGAAGACACAAACT